GATCTATATATCCATCTGCTTGAAAAACAACAGTGTAGCTGAAGTTTTATACTTCCAGATACACACACTCACACACACACATACACTCACACCTCTTAGGGATTTTCCGCCTCTATAATCCCTCTCCCCTTATTTACTATATGCTGCTTAGTATTTAATGATCTAATAATATCCTAATGCTTACATAAACCATTGAACTGGCTCCCTTATGCTCCCTGTGAAAATGACACTTAGACCACTTGTTCCTCTCTTATCCACAAATACTATTGTATTTTTCATTGTGGTCATTAACGGCATCCTAACTTTATTTTTTTACTGTTGGTGACATTTGAGAATATGCTATGAGAGAAACAGACACCAGTATAACCTGTTATCCCAGTGTCCTGTGACTTCTAAGTTATAACAAATCTTTAGTTGCTTAAGAAGCCCCTGCTATGCTTTTATTAAATGTCATTTGGACAAGCTAACTAGAGAGTCCATTTTTCACAATTGATAAAAACATTACATATGCCAGATTTCCCCACTTCCCATCTAATCATTCTTAAATTCAGCAGCACATGGCTGATTCTGGTCTCAGACTGGATGCAATCTGGATTGATACCGTTGATGCAAATGAAGACACATGCCTTTAAAAACTGTGCTATCCCAGAGGCCTGATCCTAGCTCCAAACCCTGGGTTTACAGTGTCTCACTGACCAAATGTATAGATCAATGGCATGCCTTGTGCACTCTTAGTGTCCATCTACAGCTTATTGTCCATTGATAGTGTGGATAATAGATTGAAGTCACTCTTCCCCTATAGAGGCCATAGAGCCACGAAGAGGAAACCTGAAAAGCAGATTGGCACAACATCTCCAAGATGCATGAAGTACATAGCCAGCTTTCAGGGTAATCATAGCTTTCCTGCTTCAAAACACTGCAGATGTAAGGGTCACTTCAGTTTTTGGTTACCAGTTTCTCTCCTGTGATCCTTTGTGACTCTTAATATGCTGCTGAACTAAAACACAAATAAAGTTAAAATGACATTTATAGCCAGTCTTGTAATGAAACAAAGATGGATTTAATAAAGTGACTCAGCAAAACAGAACTAACACTGCAGCTCTTTAGTGTATCTAGGTGAATAGACACTGAGTCACAGCCAAGGGCTTACGTTTAATGTTGCCCATCCATTATGTCTTCTAGATAAGGCTACAGCCTGTTGTAATAATAGACAGGATTATCTCTAGGTGACAAAACCAAATTAGATTATACCTCCCTTGCTAGCTATTTCAAAGTGGAACTCTTACTGAAAAATGAGAGCCTTGGTTGGTTTTTGAAGCTAACTGCAATATGTCTGATCGATCAGCACAGTCTTGTTAAATTTCTGCAGTTTTAGTTAGATGTGATAGTTGGCCAATAAGGTCATCCTTTATCAGTGTTTGAGACATCATGCAGGATGTATGGATTTTATGCTACAGTGGATGCATTGTGTAGCTCTGTCCTCTAAGTGCTATCCTCATTTGTAAGACAGCTTAACAAAACATAATTGAAGAAGCAAGGTGAGGGATTTTTTTGTTTGGATTTTTATTTGGTTTTGGGGCTTCTTTTTTTTAAGATGCCTCTTAAAAAGAAAATCAGTGGCTGAAGTCAAATGCAACAAAGTGATATACGTAGAGCAATTGTTCTGTATTTATAGAGGAAAAAATTGATTAGGAGGAACTTTTGCCATTTAGTAGTAGGTACATGTTCATTTGTGGAATGACCAAAGAACCATAAAGGAGGCATGTTGCTAAAATGTTATGGGCGCTATTCTTGGGGATTTATAAAAGCTTAAAATCAAGTGCTTTTAAGGGTGCAAATACAGCTTTAAATATATGCCAAATATATCAGAAGTCTGTGGCCTTGTATTTTTACTTCAAAAAATGTACAGGAGAGATATCAGTATATATATTTGGGGGCTCAGAATAGTACTATGTAGTTGGCATTCTTGCAGATTTAGCCCAATCCAAGTGCTTTACCGGGAAATAATTCTCATGCCCAAGATCCCCAGACCTGCATTCTGCTTGGATCACATCCTCTGCCTAGAAATCAGGTGCCTATAAAAATGGTGAGATTCTCTTTAATTCAGACCCCAAAGACAGCTTCCTATCGATCCTGAGATTTCTTTGAGGGAGGCCAGTTTTGGGTCAAGGACCAGGCATCTCAAAGGACGGGTTTTTCACTATGATTCTATGCAGTTCTGTTGAAGAAGGTAGGAGATGTCTTACCTTTTCTCTAAAGGCTCCTTCATAGTCCCTTCCTTTACAAGGTGACCCCTCAGACAGTTATGGCCATGGATGTGTCCATCCATGAGGTGGTTCCAAAGGGAAAAATGCAGTGGGAAGGGTTGCTTTTTCTGCTGTAGTGTGGGGCATCCATTCAGATGTCCAGGGCCTTGTGCCATGAGCTCTAGGACAAGCAGGGTAAACCACGCCATCAAACGTCTGGGCAACAAAATGAACTTGTTATGAATTAATTAACATAGCAGTGAAGACACATGGCTCCTTGTAAACCCCTGCACTTCTTCACTGTAGCTCTGTGAAGGCTGCCTGTCTGTTCCAGCATCCCAAGAAATGTGACTAGACCGGAACCTGCTATCCTTTGCCCTCACATCTTATCAGGGAGTGGGTGGGGCAGTCCTTCCTGAAGCTTACCTCTGACTAACACAGGATCATCCTCAGTTTTGGGAAGTAGACCACCTTTATGTACTATGTCCTGCACCTTGTACAGCAGGACCCTGGATCATGACTGGAATACCTAGGCCCTATGATAAAGACAGAATATTAATATGTGACCCTCTAAGGCCTGGTGTAGGTGAGCTGTTGACATACCTCTGTAGTGAACGACCACTATGATAATGCTGTAGTTTTGCTCATCTGCATGTTTTCCATTGTGACCACAATTAACTGGCAGGTCTCGGTTTCTCTGGATGTCAGTTGAATTGTGTAATGGAAACTGTATTTCATTCCCAAAAGTGTTCAAAATAACTATGAACAGGTGCTCCAAAAACTATGTTTTTGTGCAGTATTCTTTATAGCATGCCCATTGCACTCTGGATACGTAACCTTAAAGACATCCCAAGAATTATGGTAATCCCATTATCAGACATTTTGTACTATACCAAGATCATTCAAATGCCAGTTGGCCAGCAGTGAAAATGAGGTTCGTCTAAGTTGGACTGCCAAAAGGAAGAGACAGATGGGTAGGAAAAAAAACCCCATTTATCCTGACTTAAGAGAACCGAAAATGATTGTTCAAATTAGATTTCTGGCAGATCTTATAACAAGTGAATGCTTTGTAGCTTTCTGAGGAAAATTACAGTTTAAGGTCAAACTATATTGAATTAATTTGTTTCCTGAAAAATCAAAGCAAAGCTGGATTAAAAAAAAAAAAAAATCCCTGTCTAAATTAAGGCTCTGTTTTTCATTGTCACTGCTTCTGTTTGGATTTATTTCAAAGGTAAAGGAAAAAAGGAAAGTTCTTTCTGTGTTTTCAGTTGATTTAGTGCTTCAGTGGAATAATGGTCTCCGTCGCTGCAAGTTTAAAGAATGGTTAGTGTATACTGGTTGATAAGTATTTTCTAAGTTAATATGATATCTTAAAGGGATGCCATCCATTTAAAGCCATATTGCTTTTTGGAACTGTTTTGTCCACGTGTGGTAAGCAGTGTTACAAAACAACTATGACAGAAATTAGCTGAAGGGATTGGCATGGCAGGGGGGTTCCCCCTGTTTTTTAATTTGCTTGTTTGCATTTGGCAGTGTTGTGTGTCTAGGCAGTTCTTTCTCTTGCATAGGGAGTGAGACGAACATTTTCAGAATGACTGAAAAGTTGAGCATTTTCAGAATGTGCTTTTAGGTACCTTCTTCTTGGGACTCAGTTCAAGAAAATGTGGGCTTAGCTTTTAGACATGCAGCACACCCTCAGTTTCCATTAACTTGAGGTATTTAGAGTACTAACTTTTCTGCACTTCTGAAAAGCCCCCTGGGTGGATGGGGTGTGTGGGAAGGGCAGTCTGTGACACCCAAAATCAGAGTGCTCTTTTGAAAACATTGACTTAAGTTATCATTGTTTGCTATGTATGGGACCTTTCATGAAGTAACAGGAATAGGGAAAACCTTTCTGGAAAAAACAAGCAAATATAATTTCTTGGCAGGGGGGACCTCTTATACCTAGAATTACTCAAAATTACTTTTTAACTGGGCTGGATTTCAGGTTGCTGGAGTTGTTTTAATTCAGAGTAATTTAGCAGTGTATTCTATATCATATGTCAGAGTTTCATGACAAAATAAGAGGAAATGATTTAGGCCTAACATGCGATGTGCAGATGAATCAAAATGCATCCTAACTTTTGTCCCCAGAAGTGCCATGTTACAGCTGAAATCAGAGGAGCAGAGCTTCATTAGTTCACAGCCTTCTTTCCCTACTAATTTTGCTGCCTTCTGAATACTGCTCCTACTAACTTTTCACTGCTTCCTACGTGCTGTGATCGTAATACAGACAGACAAGAATCTTTAGGTTGTTTAAAATATCACTTCTACTTTTTCATTTCTGAAGTCAAACTGTACCATGTTGTTGGATGTCTAACCACCTAACCTGCTGCCATTCTCCAGACTTGTGGAGATGGATCTGTGGGTTGGATGTGAAAGCCTGAGTGCTCTGGTCCTCATTTTCAGTGAAAAAGAACTTAGTAACACAGAAAAGACGTGTGGGGTTTTTTCTGCTTATCTTAGCACGTTTGAGGTATACATAGTTATCTAAGGCTACACTGCAGCAATTTATGAAATAGTGATATGCTGTAATTGCTAAAATTGTGTATTTTTAGTTGTTGTTTTACATATTTGGCAGTACACAGAATTACCTGGAGGGTTTTTTTTTTTCCTTACATCTTTAATTTCTTGTGTTTAGCAGTAATGTTATAAAGAAGGTAGATATCCCTGTGACTGTTTAACAAGAATAGTTTTGCTTTCTTCTTGGTTTAGGGTCGATGCTCAAGGGAAAACTGCAAATATCTTCACCCTCCCCCACACTTAAAAACACAGTTGGAGATAAATGGGCGCAATAACCTGATTCAGCAAAAGAATATGGCCATGCTGGCCCAGCAAATGCAACTAGCCAATGCCATGATGCCTGGTGCCCCATTGCAACCTGTGGTAAGCATGTTTTTGATTCTTGTTAATTGGTAGACTAACACAGTAAAGAGCCACTGATAATTACAAGCCAGGTGATTGCAGGTAGACTTTGGCTAAAATAAATGAGCTGGGATCAGATTCTAGCAAATGTCAGAAAATTTGGTATGAGCCACTAATTGATGGGGAATGTGGGTACAATAAAGTACCTTCTTGTATCCACTTATAGGGCTTTATTTTACCTTGCCTGTAATAACATTATTTCATGTTATGTTGATTTAATTATATGAGTCTTAATTGGAAAAAGTATAAATATTTCCATCTAGAGTGCCTGCAGATGTACTTTGCTAATGCATAATCTGTGTGCTATAGGCTATGTTAAATTCTTATACTTTCTATTTAAAAATGGAAATATAATAAGTTTATGGTGAATAAAATTCCCCCTTTTTCAAAAGGAATCCCATTGACAGGTCTCCATTTATGAAAGGGACCTTTCTTATAGCATTTCTTGCTATAATAGAATTGTTTTCCCAGTAGCATGTGAATAGCTAAAGTTGAAAAGTCCTGTATGTTAGCCCTGTATGTTCAGTGGCAATTTGATATGCAAGATCAGCTGGTTAAGCCTGGCAGATAGATACATAAGCATAACCATGATTTTTAAGTAGTGAGGAGAGTCTGTTAGAAATCTGTTCTCTGGTCTTGATATGACCTATACAATGGATACTATATTCTACTTTTCTGATAGTTTGATAAATATGCACAAAGTGACATATCAGAAAAGTTGGAAGCTGGTTAGTTTATGCTTCTGCAGTGATCTGCTGATTCAGTGTATATAAACATGACTGTCATCACCCAACCATTTACATACATAGTTGGGAGCTGAACACACAGTACTAGATAAAGCCATGATGTAATTCCAGTGAGGTCTGTTGCGTTAAACTGATGATAAATTTGGTCCAGAGTCCTTTATAGCTAAACAACTATTCAACTCTTAGAGAACACCAGTAAACATATGAGCAGGGCCAATATGTTCTACACAAGCCAGAATAATGCAGCATAATGACAGAACGTCTCTCATTCAATTACAAATATTTGCATTAAGACTGCTCCCCTAATTTGCTATAGCAGTTGATGATTTCTGAAGTAGAATTCACACTTCAACACCATCCTTTACCTGCATTAAAATGTCTGATTTGTGTCTTTTTAACTTTGTTTTTACTTTAAAATACTGTAGTAATAATTTAGAATTCCCATAAGTACAAGTAGAAACTTTGCCAAAAAATCAGATCAAGGTTTATCATAATTGTGTGGGTCTAAAATACAGGTCATTATTTTTTATCATGTTTTAATTAGTTAATACAATTATTATTCTCTCATAGAACTTTATGCCTCAGTCATTCCAAAAAGGAGGGGGGGAGTGCAGTACAAGGTGGGAGGGATCTCCATATTTTATCGACACTGATACCAATTATCAATACAACCCAGTCAAGGTGAGAACACGTTATGTTTTAATTTTGTTTTGATAGGCCTTTTTTCAAACTAAAAATAATGCTGGTTAAATACTTTTTAAAGGAAAGTAATTAAACCCATGTTAGTGTATTAACACCAGAATGTTAAGTCACAATACTAATATAGGAGATGACTGACGAACGTATAATCCAGATGGTACTGTGGTCTTTCCTAAAAATGGGGGCTTGCCAAAGGCCTCAGCCTCTGAGTTGGCACCATTGACTACTTTGTGCTTTCTGATATGAAATTATCATAGTCTTTGCTTGATTACACAGATAACTCAAGTGAAGAAACGTACCTCATGGGTCATGTCATCAAAGTAGCCCCACATCACTCTTTACTCTCTATTTTTTTGTCCCTGTACCCATAAATGTAAACATACAAGTGGTTTGTGTGCCCAAGAAGGTATTTATTTCCTCATTGGAGTGCCCTGTTATGCCACTTGTATAAGCAAATTCAAGTTTTGGACCAGGTGAAAATTTGGCCATCCAAATCTAGAGAGGGGTTTTGAAAATGATGGCAGTAATACAGTCCTGTAATTAAAACACTTATTTGCTTATTGTTTAGCCAAATGTCTCTGCCTTATGCTTTGTACATATCAGCAGTATAGAGAGCCTAAAGATAAACTGAAATAACATTTCTATTTTAAAACAATCCTCTGAAATATTAGTCTTTGCCAAGATAAACAAATGTTAATTGATGTAACAGTTAGTTTATTATTAAAGTCAGTAGGCTAGATTCTGTCTTCTGTTGCATTTGTGCAATTTGTAATAGAGGACAGGATTTGAATATTCTAAAGATTTTGTTTATGTCCAAAGAACTCTTTCGCATTAAGGGACAAAATACTTGCAGATGCAGTTTTTCTATATCACAACGTGAGTACAAAAATAATATCATTTTTACTTTCAAAAGCCATGTGCATGCAGTATGTGTTTTATTTGTACCCACAATATTGATTGCAAATGGATGCCTTTCTAATATATTTGCTCTAAAATAATTTTTTTAGTACAGCTAAAACAAATGTTATTACAGAGTATCCCTAGAAAGAAATATTTCATGTAGAATTCTGTTTTAATTCTTGTTCTGTTTGATATGTCTGGTTTTAAAAAAATCAATAACATGGTTTAAAAAGGAAAATGAATTACGTTATAGAGGAGCTCCAAGTTAGGAAGCAATCGCATGTTCTTAAAAATCATATGTTTGTTTGACAAATGTTTTAATGATTTTTGCTACAAGTAGTACTCGTGAATGCTATATCTGGGAAAGAAATAGAGAAAAATATATTCCTCTATTTTTTTTCCAGTTTATTTACTTTTGTTCTTTTCTTGTCCCTTAGACATGTTCTATTTCTCTGATGGAGTCAGTAGATTTCCCATATGGTGGAACAATTCAAAGCAAGGCCTAGTCTAAATTATAAAGTTTTCCTGGCAGAACATACTCAGTGTCCCTCTGCTGCTGCAGGACCTCTTTTCTGCTGGCAGAGGTACTCTACCTCTCCTGGGTGGACTGAAGCTACAGAAGTCAGTTACAGATGCATGTAGATACTCCCCTACAGTCCATTGGTCCATTCAGTATCTGGTGCCCTCCCAGAGAGCACTTTGCCTCCTGGCGATCCAGCTGCTGAATGAATGGAGCCTTTAAAAGTGTGTGGATGTATATGCAGTGTGTGGGTTTACATGGTGGCTTGGCACTGATAGCTCTTGTCTGTCAGTAGATGCAAGTGGGTACAGACATAGCCCATGATTTCATTCTTTTTTTTTGTAGTTATTTTAGTGGTTCATTTAAATCATACTTAAATTTTGTAAAAACTAACTTGAAAATGTATGCTTTAAACTTTGGTTTAAAAATTCTAATGAAATAAATGATCAAGGCTGACTTTTTAAATGGTATACTCCTAGTAAGATACCTAACTGATATTTTACCAACCTGGTATTAGCAAAATACTAAAAATTAATTGATGTTGAAAGTACATAGGAAGTGTGCAACTTGGCATCCCACTGCTTTCATGGAGACCTTAAGGTTACATATATGTATAAGTGTAGCATTAAGGGCTAACATTGTTGTCTTAATATCTTTTCTGTAAGTATCAGTTCCAAAAAAATCCTATATAGTAAGAGGAATGTTACTTTGCCTTTCAGTATAGTAACAGTAGCCATTTGTATTTGGACAGCCCAACATTTTGAAAATGGAAGCTTAAAGTTAAGTTCATAAGCCTATATATGACCACCTAAGCACTCATCTAATGCAAAATTTTGGAGAATTGAGATAAAAAAGAGAGGGTATAGACTTTCTGCAGGACTTGAGCAATATTTTCCTGTGGTGCTGAGTCCATCATCTCCTAAGTTTCTTCATTGTAGTGATGCTGACCAATATCTAGACTTACTACAAGATAGTCCAGCAGAACAGGGTACAATCATTTTCAGTCTCAGCTCATAAAGACACTTTGTAAGGAGGCAAAATCCTCCTCATGTTCAAGTTGTACTGACTTTTAATCCAGGGAGATGCTTGTTTTTGCACTCTGAATTTCCAGGATTCCAACAGGTCTCAAGATCATTTAATTATGTTTAAGAGGTCACCATGCTCTACAGAATTCATGCCATCTCTCTAATGTAAAGAGGCTTTAAGAAAAAATAAGGTCCCTATCACAATAGACACTGTAGAAACTCCTAAATGTTATGTGTATTAAACACAACGATCTCACTGAAGTCAGAAAGACTCTATGTTAGTAAACTCCATGGATATATACTATATTTACTTGAATACAAAATGAGGTTCCCCAGCACCCCCAACTGGCACTGGGGGAAAACCATTTGTCTAATGATTGCGTACAAAGCAACCACATTAGATACCTTGTTTGTTATTGAACTGTTGCCAAAAGTAGCATATGCTCAGTAATGGAAACTAACTATGAAGCTGATTAAACGCCGCTAACACTGAGCATGGCTATAAAACACTTTGCCCACAATGGGCAAATATGCTGATGTCAGCCTACTATAAGGATAGGTTAGTGCAGCCCATCTGAATAAGATATATGTTAGTGCCTGTTAAGCACAGCCCCCCTCCACGCTAACTTCTTTTTCAAGTCATGGTGAGCTACTACATTGCATACATTTTTACTTTCTCTTCACTCCCACAGCTGAGCTGCTCCTTTCTTTCCTAAAGAATCCTGTTTCTTCATCAGCCTTAAGTGCCTGGGAAACATCACTAAACAGGGCCCCAAACAGTTCACCCAGAATCCCTATGTCTCTCTCTGCCTGTTGCATATGATTAGCGTGGCCCTGCCCTCCATGAGGCAAGGTTGCCCTACACCTCATCTGCATATAGATTTTTGGAGCATCCCAAGATTCGTGACAAGAACATCTGACTCCAGTCATAAGTGGGGGCCTAATTAGCACAAGAATCCTTTTTGGGGGATATCTGGAGAACACATACACAGTGAACAGGGCTGAGCTGTGGGGTCAGTATGAATTGAAGTTGTGTTGACTCTGCTGGAGCCCAGCCCAATGAACTATATGCTAAGTCATGAGCCTTTGGCTTTAGACTGATGTTATGCATAATTTTTACTACATATAAGTACTTATATAAGTGCTGCTTGAAAGTGTGTTTATGGAGTACCTGTGCTAAAACTTACAGCAGTTTCCAAAAAAGGTAAGGAATTAATTCTGGATGAACTAAGTATATGGGTACTATATGCAAATTGTGACAACTATGTTTAATTTCAAGGTCATCGTTTATCAAATTTGATCTTCACTTCCACGTGCAAAGGGAGAGCAGGGTTTGACAGTAAGGCAAGGTGAAAAGAGTTGCCAGGGGAAAAAGTTGGGGAGAAGCAGCAGGTAAAAGGGCTAACTGACTCCCCAGATTTATTTTCCCTGCTGTAGCAGTAGCAGGGGGACAAATTCAAGGCAAACCTCCAATAATTAGATTCTATACTTAGAAAATTGTAATGAATTTATAAATTTTCCATATATGGAATCTAATTTCTGGGCATCATCCTATAATCAGGGTTGTCTTCTATTTGAGTAAATACAGTATTAATAATTCCCTCAGGCTTCTCAGTGCTTCACACTTCTACTTTTCAGCACCACCCAGAATATTTAAATTAAAGAATTGTGCTGATTTATGTGAGTTCGTATCAGGGGCATCATTTTGTTTCCATTGATGTTTCAATGGGAGCAAGATTGTTCATTAAAATACCATGAATGTTTGTGTAGATGTATTATTGCCTTACTTCTACACTGGTCATGTCTACATGTGTGCTTTAGTGCGCAGTAGCCTATTTTACTGCACATTAGGCCATCATGGCAAAAACCATGCTAATAAGGTAATGCGAGGTAAAATTTGGCTACTGCACATTGTTTCACTAAAAAAAGCATGCACTTTCACTACTGTGTATGAGGTTAGCCCAATGTTCATTTAGTTAGTATCTCGCATTAGAGGGCACCTATACGTGAGCACAGAGGCCGCTCTGATGTGCTGGAATTCCAGCACATCAGAGTAGACTCAAGTAATCAAGTCTTCTGGAGCATGGCAATTGCCACACTCCAGCAGCCTCATGTGTCTCGTGTATCAGCATCCCCGTACTTAAAAAATGGTAGTGGGGATGCTTTATCTAGGAGTCACTCTAATTAAAGCACTGCTCCACCCCCCCACCCCTACCTCTGGAGCACATAAAAAATTCCCAGAGGTACTAACTTTAATGTGCAGGAGCAAAGGAGCATTAATGAATGTGTAGAACCAGCTGATAAGGCTCACACATGGTGGGAGCATGTTGATGGGATATACTTCTTGGTAGCAGACTGGGGGTACCCCGGAAGTGGTGCAGAAATGGCCTCAGAGTCTTGTTGATTATCAACAAAAAGGAGGTTTCTTTAAAGTACTAATTATTGCAGGCACAGGTAGCCTTTTTGTAAAGGCTAGCTATATTGTAAATTGCTTTCTCAGAATGTTTTCAAACAAGTGCCTTCTAGGATTAATTGTTTTGAAGGGGAGGGGTTTTAAGGAGAAGTGAGCAAAATCAGCAGAGCTACTTCTGAATTAGTTGTAAAAAAATATTTTAGCATGTTTTTCAATAAGATTATTTTTTTATTACTTTGGAAAATGACCAAAGCTAAACAGCATTTGTCTTTAGATCTCTCAAAGTCCAAAGCTCAGTTTGATAAGCCTAGGGTAACTGATACTAGTTATGAACATTCAAAATTGGCCATTCTGTATATATGCATTCAGTTTTTCTGGACTTTTTTTTAGTATACTTTCAGGACATATCAATGAATGATATATTTTGCTTTAAGACACTTGTTTGGTATACAGGCTGAGTAGGATCCAGTTAATGGTGGCTGTGTTGGGGCTGACTCAATTGCAACCCTGTGATCAGAATTCCAGATCTGGGAAATCATTAACCAATTATCAGACTTGCACCAAAATAGTTCTAAATTGCTTTGTTTATTTTTTTGTCACTGAGAATCCTAAAAATGGAATGATAATAAATAGAAATATTGAAATACCATTATTGATAATATCAAATAAATGAAAAAACATTCCACAAGAAAACTTATTCACACCACGTTGATTTATCCAAGTAGCTAGATTTGAAATACATTTGGGATGCGAATAGTTGCAGGAAATATTTTGCTGTGGCTGTAATTTACAGGAGCTTAGGTGTGTCAGCAAAATTACAACCAAAATTATTTAGGGTTAACATATATCTGGGTTTTCCTGGACATGTCCTCTTTTTGGGTCCTCCAAACTCCATCCCGGCCATTTTTTAAAATACAAACAGACATCCGGGATTTTGCTCTGCTCAGCATTGAAGTTTTTCCCGGCTTGCCTAAGCACTTCCTAGCTTGCCCTAGCAAGATGCTGGTTGGGGCTGGGG